TTAACACATTCTAACATTCCTCCATTGAATTTAGTTTATGATGACTAAAGTCAATAAAAGTAGAGTTTTTGCAAAATGTATAAATTTATCAAACCTTTAAAACTAAGTTAATTATCATGAAGACCTAGAAAAATTAAATTGAGTTTTTACAGAGTGTTAGTGCTTTTCTGTTTTCAGAACCAATTCTATTAGCACAAAAATTTAAAAAAGTCCTGTTTTTGGAGTAGTTTTTGTAACAGTATGACTTAATCATATTTGTATTGGCTTGGACGTTAGGTATTAGTTCAGTTTGTTGATTGCATCAGATATTATATTACGGTATAAAAAATTAAAAAAGTATATTATTATCAATTATTATTCGCATAACTACTCAATAGTTAAAATAATAGTACGATCGAAATGTAAAATATTAATTTACGTATTATTTTAACTACTGAATAGTTACACGAATAATAACGATCTGATGCAACCATTCAAACTGAGTACTATTAAATGCAACCTAAAGCAGCAGTCTTGTTACCAGATAAAATAAATAACGATAATATTTCAGCATCAGTAGATGCTGAAATAAGTCACATGATTAGTCAGTTAAATATCATTATTAAAATGCCCATGCCTTTTATATTCTAATCCACTAACGCCAGGGTTGATGAATAACCGGATCATTTGCTTATTTTTCAAATGACCTTAAATAACCTGTTATTTTGGGTCATTTGAATTTGCAAACCAAATGACCAAGTCATATCAGAGGCAAATCGATTATCGAGATTAAATTAGAGTCAGAAAGGATGAGCATAGAACATTCATCATCAGAAGCTGCTTACCAAAAAAAAAAAAAAAGAATAAAATAATCATAATAATAATAATAAAAAGAAAGAAGTATTATGTAGTAAGAAATGAGCAAAATGTGAGAATTGTGATCTTGCTCCACGATTTTAATCGGAAAAAAGAGAGAATGAAAGCTACCGTAGTATGCTAAAATCTTGCTTGCTGACTCATGGCTGGTCTTGCTTAGCAACTGCTCATGACGTCCATTTGATGTATAGTACATGTTTAATTGTCCCAGACAATCTAATTCAAAATTTCAAAATTTTGTAATTCAAACTTTACATAAATACAATACATAATTAACAGAATGTATACTACTTAAAAAAAATTAAATTGTAAATCAATTTAATATTAATATTCATAATATTAAAAATAGCAATACTGTAATAAGTAATACGTAGATATTTCACGGTCTGTTGTGAATACGATGTCAAACAATGATAATATGTCATCTGAAGACAATCAGTCTTTACAAGTATGAAAGTCTTTAATATGATATCGAAATCAAAGAGAAAGACAATATTAAAAGTCAAATCAGAAATATTTGGAAAAAGATAGCTAATAATGAAGACAACTACCAGTACTCAAAAGTCACATGCATCTATACCTTTTGTGAATTGGCACGTGCATCATTTGAGTTGATGAAAAAAATAAGGAAACTAAAAAAATTAGATCAATTTTTTATCCCAGCCTTCATAATTGTGACTGATCGAGAGACTGGAAAAAAGAGGAAAGAAATAAACTTAGAAGCAAATAACTGGAGTTGTGAATTTTTCCAAGATGAAGAGATTGCAATGCCACGTAAATAAAATATTAGTAGAATCATCCGCCATTTACCATAAGGGTAAAATAGCAATAATCAAAAATGAAATGGTTGCAGCCAGACATTTATTAATACTTGTTCAAAGGTTGGGTTGGTTTGTTATTTATAATAACGAGTCAATTAGCCTTTCTAGAGTAAGAAGAATGTCAAAGAAAGAGTGGAGTGATCTTATTAAAAAAAATTGAAAAAAAAGTGCCAGCGGACAATAACAATAATATATATGATTTAAAGAAAACTACAAGAATTTAAGAATTTTAATAGGGATCTAATTGGTAAAATGATTGTAAGAAAAAAATATATATAAGGTTGAAGATTCATAAACTATAATTAATGTTTAACTTTACATACTAAATAGCTTTTGTTTTATCTAGTTTTTTTGAAGCATCTTTGCTACCAGCATTAGCAGCCAATTCTAAATGACGTAAAGCAAAATTTTCATTTTTACCACATCCAATCCCATTTTCAAGCAGCATCCTAAGTAATAATTGGCTTTCAAATAAATTTCATAAAACTTGCTTTTTGAAAGTTCATGAAAAATATACCATGCAGCTCTTAGACTTTCGTCATGTTTGTTGTTGTATTCATGTATGCTGCTTTTACAATTTTTGAATACATCTTTAGCAGTATCAAAAAGCTTTTTTTCAATCATATGAACCTTTTCTCCAATGTGTTGAAATTCTGCGATCTTTCTAAGATCAACAATTGTTTTATTTGTAATACAATTCTCTTCCAGTTTATCTAGTTTAGTATAAATATTTACAATTCTTTCATAGGCCATTAGTCTCACACAGCACTACTGGTAGAAAATATCAACGAATTTGAACCGTTACTTTTATATACAAATGGTCAAATTTAAATCGAAATGTGTTGAATTAAAGTTATTTATTTTGTATAATTGTTCACTTTCTTACAATATCTTTCTTACAATATAGCTATGTATTTTAAAAAAGAATTGTGCTTCAAGTAGACACAGTATTTCATTCTTTGTAATTTTGTTCATTAATAAATTCTAACAAATTATAACAATTAAATTTATTTTTGAATATAATATTTTTAATTACTCAACACATAATTGTATTTGTAGTAGTATTCTTTTCTTATAGGCCCCATTGCATAAATTTGTACATGCTAAGATAGAGATGCGAACTGTGAATTACAATATGTATAAATAAACTGTAGTTTATTTTAAAACTACAGTTAACTACAGTTTTACAATAAACTACAGTTTATTTATATTAACTACTAGTTTACGGATCGCACCTCTATGCTAAGAATATTTTTTTTTGTTCTTTTAAAAAGATTAAAGTCACATTTATCTTAAGAAAAAATAGGAGAAAATATTTTTAGAGCAGATTTATGTACCACAGTATTCTGAATTCATCTAGTTTGTAGCTATGTAGTAAGATAATAAAATAATAAGATTAACTAATATAAAATTAGCAGACGTAAATACGCGAATTGAAGAAGCTTTTTCATCACAATGCAATAAAGATATCAGGTATTACTTTTATAGTCTAACTATACATATAATTATTTCTATCTTCACTTAATTTTTTCGAACAAAAATGACAGGAATATTTAGAGATGCGAACTGTGAATTACAATAGGTATAAATAAACTGTAGTTTATTTTAAAACTACAGTTAAGTACAGTTTTACAATAAACTACAGTTTATTTATATTAACTACTAGTTTACGGATCGCACCTCTAGAAACATTAATATACAGAAGCCACGAGTTGACAAGTACTTTACAAAATAACCATGATTATGTGATAAATGCATTATTAGGTATGTATTTTGTTGGTTCATCATCATGAAAATTTTATTAGTGAATTATCTACCTTATTTATTGTAAAAGTGACAAGCACCTATTTTAACAAATCGATAATTTATCAAGCAATTATAAATATAGATTATTATAAAATTATATACTGATATGTAATAATCTATTTTTTGAATTGCTAGCTTTTACTTGGGTAGAGATGCGAACTGTGAATTACAATACGTATAAATAAACTGTAGTTTATTTTAAAACTACAGTTAACTACAGTTTTACAATAAACTACAGTCTTGGGCATTTTTAAAACAAATTTATCAATTAAAATTAAATTAATATATTTAATTTTATTTTTAACAGAAACAATTGTAAATATTGTTACCAGGTGGCTATCTCTCATAAAAACATAAAAATATTGTTAATTCAATTCGCACAGTCAAGTTAAAAAATTTGTATTGTTATTGTTATTTATTTGTAATATCTACTAAATAATTTAATTGAATAATTTAAAAGAAAAAAAATGATTATAAAGTATGCTTTGTTGTATTAGACTCGTTACTTTGAAAACATGTCATTTGAAGACTTCATTAGCAAGTTTCAAGAATTAGCGATAAATAAAAATGATGGCAATCCAATGACACATGATAGCAATCATATCAAGTTTGCAACGCAGATCGGGAATCTTCTGCTGCAAAATAACAACATGCCATTTTATGCTGAAATATCTGAACGATGGGCTGTGATTAATGGCATAGTTTATTTTTTTTGGGACTAATAAAGAAGTTAAAGTCCTAAATAGTTTATCAACCATATATGAAGAAAGATTACCAAGAAGATGTGATATT